GACAGACACACGAGTCGGGTACGAATACGCCAATGGCGAATTACCGCGACGAAGTGATAATCTCGCATCCATCTCGAGCTGGCGCGGCTATCTCGCTTATACCGCATTCCTCCGTTTGAGTCAATATTGTAAAATTATCGAGATCGTCATTTTTGTCGAAGTTGAAAATTACAAATATAGCATTTTTCAACGACGATATCGTCAAACTATTAACACAAAAATATGCGTTAAAACCTGTACATATTTTTCGGCGTGCCTTTAATATTTCTGGATGCGAATAATTTATCACCTGCGCCGCGAAACCATCCGCGTGGAAATGGATCAGGTGCTCGGGCATCCCCTTTTTCCTTGTCTACCATCACGCGGTCAATTAATAGGAGTCATTTATAAGAGCAAACCGGGGAATCTGGGAATCCGCGATCCGCCCGGAGGCAATAAATCTCAAGTCGCCGAGAGGCGGCATGGTAGCGGAACCCCTCTTGTAAGCTGGTTGTATTGTAGCTATTACCGAGCCATGCATCACTAGGTAACAACCGCACTATTCGCCGTCTCCCTCGTTCCAACAGCGAACCATCCTCCCCCTCTCTCTTTCTCTCCTGCTCCGCGACCCCGGGGAAAGGGCGCTAGGGCATCGTCGTAGAAAAGCGCAGGAAAACGCGCGGCGCGAGTTTGGGAAGCTGCGCAGCTGATATCGGACCACCCAGGTTATGCCCTGGATACCTTCTGTCCGTGGGACGTTCCGCAGGGGAAAACATTACGTCCGATTCACGCATGACCACGAAACGCGATGTTATGGCAGGAATGATGAACGATCGCTGTCGTTAATGAGCGAATCGCGTCTCGCAGCGGCGTGTTTCGGCGCTCGTGGCCGAAAAAGCTAAATAAAAGCGCCCCGTTTGTAGTTTTAGCGAGACTCTCGTCTCTACAAATTATGCGACAACGCGAAACTCGCAGCTGGCAAAAAATAATATACAATAGCAAATAAATCTTCCTCTGAATAGACGCTTGTCTTGCCGTCGTATATTTTTTTATCCGCGTTTAAAACTTTTCGGAGATACGCGATTACGAATCGCGAGATGAAAATACTTTTATACGTACACGTTGTGGACATATTAAAACGAGGGAAATTTTTTTGCGGCAACACACACCGCAGAATCAATGATATTTTGGCGCTTTCGAAAACATCCGCGATCAAAGTCATTTATTTGGTCTGTACGATACAACGCGAAGCAGACGATGAGAAAATAACGAGCGATACTTGGCGCGCAAAACAGAAGATCGCGAGGAAAAAACAGCGAGGTAGGGAAAAGAGAGAAAAGGAGAGAGAAACGGGGACAGGATATATACACGCGCGCCGTGGTACAGCACACCTCTCTCTCTCTCTCTTGCCGGACAACCGACAGTTAGAAGAACGGGGTGGCTGTCGAGGAGGGTAGTACCTGCCTACTCCTCGCACCCTCGCTTGGCGCTATAGTAACAACACGGGGAAACATAGGGAAATCAATATGGCTTCCGTTGCCCTCATCCCTCTCGCGCGCGGCCCTCGCAGCCGGCGTCGTCTCTCGTTCTCGTCCGATTTTCTCGCTCCTCTCTCGCTACCATGGAATTACGTCTCTCCCCCGGCCTCCCTCGCTTCGCTCCATCTCTGTCTTTCCTATCCTCTCTTTCTCTCCTTCTCTCTCGCTGTCTCTCTTTCTCTATCTCTCTCTAGCACTCGACGCGGACGGGTGAACCCATTATAAGGGGGTGTTACTCCGGGCCAATCCCCAACCATCCGGAGAGAGAAACCGGAGAAGCGAGAGTCCAAGAAGGGCGCATGTGCGTTGCTAGGGCCACCGGATGGGTCGCGCGATGCGATGCGATGTGATGCGATGTGGTTGCGACGCGTTATAATGCCGCGCGTAACGTCCACCCGGTATATTAGGTATACGGAAAATATTTAAAAACGCATCTACGAGAAGCACGTACGCCAATGTCATTTGCATTGTAGCTGATTATATAATAAGTTTGTCCACAATAGCAATCACATCTAAAATATATTTCTTTAGCGAAGAAAATAATTGAATAAAAGTAATGTGCCCTCTTTATGTTATTTTTTAACATTCTCATTAAAATCAGGAGTAGATGCATTTCAATCATTCTGCACAATTTTACGGATGTCTCGAGATATAATGTTAAGATTTCAAAAGACCTTATATATATATATAAATATCACTCTGTTAACGCAATTATATTGCATCGATAAGAATAAAGTAATTTCGATACATTGATAATAAAGTAATTATATCGTGAAATACTATTAAGTCTCTTTTTCTGTATAAGTAATGTACGTATATATAATGTAAGACAATTATAAAAAAATTTATAATTTCAATTTTAAAAATATATGGAGTTTAGAAATTTACTCCGTACACCTATTAATATAAAGTTTATAGAAAAGGATCTATCTTATATATAAAAGTTTAAATCTAAAAATTCTTTCATAAAGAGCTCAAGATATCAAGGATGGGGCTCTCTGACGGCGAACCATGAAACTCGAAACCAGAACTATGTCGGTAACACGGAATCCAGGTATATAGAAGGTAAATCTTTCGCAAGCAATAACCTTTCATAAACATGCCGAAAAAATTGAATTGTAATGTCGAAATAGTATATACTTGTGATTAATCTTATATTCGAGAAAATACGCATAATGCCTTAGAAAAAAAAAAAATTCTTCTATTTTGGTGCAAAATGATGGTTCATGTCGTTACTACAGTACGCGAGAAATCCCAACTGATTTCAAGCTGAGTTCGCCTCCACCTTTCAACCACATCGATCTCCAGTACTCCAGACACTCATTAGACCCCTCAATTGATCAACTCAAGAATCGCGCAGAAGTTGAATTCCATAGTTCCGTAAAGAGCCGAGATATCCATTAAAGCTTGCTTCTCGTTTGACGCTGCATGTTTCTCATTCAGTCGGCGGCGAAATCCACGGATCGCCACAGGCCGCACTGCTCCGGGAAACATTCCCCCGCCGTTTCTTCTTATATTATGTGAGCACCATTGATTGGCCCCCACCATATTTTATATCACATAGGGAGTAATTCATTCTTCTTCCGTTGGCCTACTTCAGTCGATTAATAGGAGAGAAGAAGAGAACATCAAGTAAAGTCCGAGGAAAAGTCGCATTTCAAATGTCATATATCGAGAGACTGCGCGAGAGAGAGAGAGAGAGTGCCACCGTGTTTTTCCTCTTGTAACAACGATGTCGACCAAATCTGTCTCTTCGTTCCCTTCTTCTAGAAGAAGATACCAAAGTATAGAAGAACGGCGCGCGATTTATTATAACTATCGTGGAGCTTATATACATATATACATATATATTTTTTGGAGAAGAGTGAGAACTTTGGAGTCTTCATTCTATAAATTCCTCCATAAACACTCCCCCACCTTTGGACACGAATCGATTGCTTTCACCAATACATCAATCAAGGAAAGAAAGGCGCTTGCTTCTACGTAGATTCCAAGTTTTTTTCTCCATTAGATATGATATGTAAACGTCTGCGTGCGCGTAGGCTTCTCCTTAAATTCTCGTAGATTCCTTCCCCTCGCCTTCTTTTTCCTGTCATTACAGACAACCACACAAGATTAACGAGAAAGAGAGAGAGGCGCACAATTTTCTTCCAATGTTATATAATAACATATTCTAGAAGCTTTCCAACGTCACGATTCCCGCACGATTCAAACCATGGGTCCATCAAGCGCCTGTGTCCATCGAGTGCCTGTGAGAACGAGTTAGCTGAAAGATCGAAAAGGACCGGAACTCACATTGTCCTAGACGACGAAGACTCTTCATCGAATGGTGCCCATCGCTAGTAACGTTTACTGAGTAGCATCAGACCACCTTATTCGGCTGTGTCTAACTACCTTATATAAAGAACAGAATCCTTACATAGCGCTTGCGAGAAAGCTCGATCAAGTATACCTAAGAAACGACGTTCTATTGCACGTGTTTTTACAATCTGCTTTGTGTTTAATAAAAAAAATATAATCTCAGAAAGATGTTTATATGCAAATATATGCATCAAAGCAGTAAGAAATAATAAAAATTAGAAATTCTAATAAGAGATATTTAATGCAATAACATCCTACCGGTATATTAAGTAATTAAATTTGCAAAAAGACGAATAATCGATCAAGGATTCGCACAGTTATCCTAAATATCTTTTATCGATATTGTGCTCCGCGTATGGTAAGTGATAACAATAATCTAATGACATCTGTTATCATCAAGAAGTAGTTGTTGTTAGAAATATGTAAAGTCATCTACTAAATGTTAATAATATGGTTTCAATTAATCTCTATATTGAAATAATATCAGGGGAGAAAAACGTTGCAGTCGGCAAAGCAGACTACATCGCAGGCTAAGGATGCCTGCTGCAGCTTTGCTGAAGACAGCTTGTCGCAGGCACTGTACCATAGAGTTGTGGAGTACGTTGGTATCAAAACAGACTGCTGGTATCAACGGAATATGGCCTTACCAACCTCGTCGGTAAAGGAGTTCTCTCTGGTTATAAAGCAACACGATTTCCTGAGAGAAAATTCAATTTTCAATAATATTTATTTTAACATCGAGATTTTATATCAAAAAGAATTCCACTCTGTTAATATCTCTTATAGTTTTCAGATATAAACACAATCAAAAATAAAAATATTAAAATTAACTATCAAAATATTAAAATATTGAAATATTAACAATATAAAATTACATCTACATTTATTTATTTTTTTATTATTGATTTATTAATTATTGATTTATTTATTTTTTGTGTTTTAACTAATTCAAATTTTTTTTCTTTTTTAAAAAAATGTGTATAATGTATTTATTTACTATTGTTAATATTTAACGTTAAATGCTTTTGTCAATAAAACAATATATAATCGAATACTTTCCACTCGCGCGCTTCGAATAATAACATTAAGGTCGTGTTTATCATCACGTATTCTCATACGAAAAGATATATGTACAGACGAATAGATTTGCCAGGATATATACAAGTAGGACATTCAGTTGTCTATTGAAGTCGTAACGGTTCACACGATTAAAGCGACTACACTAATCCAGGTAATGTCGACGAGAAAGTGAAATTTTATTACAAGAAATAGTGAAGGGTAATCAATTTAATAGCATATCGAGTAAATTGAGACACTATAAGTAATCATAATATCTTTCGAAACGGAATAATTTGTTTTGAATATCTATCTACAAACATATATAGACTTTAGATTGTGTTTTTTTTTACTAATACATGTTTGTGAGAAGAAAAAGTGAGAGAATACGTTGGTATCAAAACAGGCTGCTGGTATCAACGGAATATGGCCTTACCAACCTCGTCGGTAAAGGAGTTCTCTCTGGTTATAAAGCAACACGATTTCCTGAGAGAAAATTCAATTTTCAATAATATTTATTTTAACATCGAGATTTTATATCAAAAAGAATTCCACTCTGTTAATATCTCTTATAGTTTTCAGATATAAACAATCAAAAATAAAAATATTAAAAAATTAACTCAAAATATTAAAATATTGAAATATTAACAATATAAAATTACATCTACATTTATTTATTTTTTTATTATTGATTTATTAATTATTGATTTATTTATTTTTTGTGTTTTAACTAATTCAAATTTTTTTTCTTTTTTAAAAAAATGTGTATAATGTATTTATTTACTATTGTTAATATTTAACGTTAAATGCTTTTGTCAATAAAACAATATATAATCGAATACTTTCCACTCGCGCGCTTCGAATAATAACATTAAGGTCGTGTTTATCATCACGTATTCTCATACGAAAAGATATATGTACAGACGAATAGATTTGCCAGGATATATACAAGTAGGACATTCAGTTGTCTATTGAAGTCGTAACGGTTCACACGATTAAAGCGACTACACTAATCCAGGTAATGTCGACGAGAAAGTGAAATTTTATTACAAGAAATAGTGAAGGGTAATCAATTTAATAGCATATCGAGTAAATTGAGACACTATAAGTAATCATAATATCTTTCGAAACGGAATAATTTGTTTTGAATATCTATCTACAAACATATATAGACTTTAGATTGTGTTTTTTTTTACTAATACATGTTTGTGAGAAGAAAAAGTGAGAGAAAAAAAATTATGAAAGAGAATAAACATACATATGTGTATTTTCTGCATGATTTAAATAAGAAATTTTGCAAATTTGTGATATTTGTAAAATGTGCAAATTAAAAATTAGATTTTACTGTAATTATAAACGCATTCATTTTTTTCTGCATTTTAAATGATTTGAACAGTGTTGTGATGCAAAATGTTGACACGAGCAAAAGAGTTATAAAATATCAAAATATGTGAAACACATATTTATAATACATATAATAAAAATCACTAAAATTAAAACGATACACAATCAGTGGTCTTGTAAATATCATGACGATATTATCATAAACATCCATTTTAGGTCGCAGTATTCGCGTTAAAAAGAGGTACACCAACGCTAACAAAACAAGAATCATGGCATTGATGTTAACGCTGCCATTGATCGGTCTAGATCCGGAGCACTTTTCCGCATTGAACGTAAAGCTTCTTAAGCTCGAGAACGAACAGAACTCGAGAAATTCACCCGATTCCGGACGGGCTTCTCCAAGTACCGGAAGTGAGACCAGCGGCATCAGCAGTCTCGCACTGTCCGGCGAATCAGCGTCAGCTGAATTAACGCCAGTTTCATCGAGACCAGAGACTCCCACCAAAGTTCCGTACAAGGAGAAGGTAAACATTACGCGAATAATTCAGAACTCGATATCAAAAGGGATTATAAGAATCCCATATCAAAAGAGAGAGAGATAGAAAGAAAGAAAATAAAAAATCTTAGAGAAATTAATTTTTTAAAGAATATTCGCTTAATCGAAAAAAAAATGATGTGTGTGCAATCATATTTATAATGTTATTTATTAGCACATGTCTTAAAAAAATTGTTTTCCTAAAGAATATATGTTTAGTTGAAAAAAAAAAAAAAAATGTGCAGTCGTATTTATAACATTATTGATATTGAGGCAAGAATATTTTTGCATTACTTATGTACAGTCTTTTTCTGTATTAATTATAAATGTACACATGTTTACAAGAGAAAATAAAGAAAAAAAATTTCCTTTTAGATAAATGCACCACCACTTCGCATAATGCACGGAGGACGCGACATATTGAATTTAGGAGCAAATATTAGGCCATCGTTCAATTGGGAAATAACAGATCGAAAGTTGTCTCGATATGAGATTCAAAACATTATAGCCAATCGCTCGGTGCGTTACCGATTACGCGAGCAACCACTTAACGATTATTCAATGGTACGTATTTGCATGATACAGTATCCTCCCTCTATGAGAAAAAAATTTTTAATACAAAATTAATTTGAATAATATAACGTAGTATACAATATAATATCTTTTATACAGATATAAAAAAATTGTGTGTGTAGTATATTATCTTCTATAATTTAAAAACTTTATATATATAATTAGCAAAATTTTCAATATTATTAAATTTTAGTCACAATTTTAATGATCGAAATTGTGTTTTATAGAAATGCTGCGACGAATGTGGATTTTGCGAACAACCATGCGTCTTTTAATATCGAGGTGACCGTAATAATTAACGCGACAGTAATGTCCAACATCCAACGTCGTGACAACTAAATTGTAATAGACCGAATAAGCGGCAGCCGGAAACGGAGACGTATCGTAAATCGAACGACACATATATAGATATATATAAGATATATGTATAGATCTAAATATTTGAAAGGGGATACAACGCGACGCGATACTCGCGATATTAAACGTGAATATGATAATAATTCAAATAATTCACAATTATTAACAACCTTATTACTCGTATATTTGAAGAATATATTTAGTTAAATTAGAGAGAAATTCGAGTCTATATATGCATACTTAAATAATATACGTTTCCCTACCGGATACGGGCTGCAATGGTCATTAGAATTTTCCTACATTTTTATATCGTATAAAAGTGGTGAAATTATAAGAGCTGAAATGAGTTTTATGTAAATCAGAATAAAAATAAATTAGGGTAGTCCAATGTCTCTATAGCGTCTAATCTTAAACATTATACGGTTCTGAAATCTTTTTTTATTACGACAAGAAATTAACTCTATCAGCTCAATTGTATGATTCGTCCATCTTTTATGGAATCCCCTTTTCTACGGGATAGCTTTTTAGCTATATAGTGCGTATGTACATAATTATACTTCGGACGAATGACGATAGTGGCTTTAAGAATATCAGCGCTTTATAAAGCCGTCCGAGCATAAAGTATCGTGTGACTACAACCGGCTTTCATCGAACGATCAAACGATATTAGATCCTTTACGCACGATATGACGATCTGTGTAATTAATTGAAAACTCGACTGGAAAAAAAAAATTGCAAGTTTACTCGCAGTCGTATTTCGTAAAGCAACACGCTGTTCAAAAACTTTTCTACATGTATTCTATATGTATTTTTTTATATACAAATTTATTATAATTTAAAGATATTTCTCATTGTCAAGATTGTCATCGACGTAAGTCGATCGTGTATCGTTTTACATTTTGCAATCGTTTTACATTTTGCAATCGTACGAACAAGTGCCATTACGCCTTATGCAGCATCGTTATATAATGACGCACCGATAGATAATAATATCGTGTTTCACGTAATATCACGAACGATCGGCAATTTATCAAACGGCCGAAAAAAATTAATCCTTACATTTTCGCGGTAAATGTAATACCTGCTACGGAGGATATAATATACAATTCTACGACGGCACATATTGCATATACATCTTGACCATTGTTTATTGATTGCATAATAAACAATTTTTATATATCTCAATTGTTGCGCTATTATAATTGTATCTATTTTTACACCAAATAAAATCATGTAAAACGCTTACGCAAAAATATGAAAGTTATTTATTCTTTTATACCTTTTTATACCGATTTTACACCTTTTTCCCCAAAATTAAAAATTTCGTACCGTAATATATTGTCGCGTGTTGCAAAATCAACAGAGGCCTTTCTGGCAGCGATACTTGAGCCGCGCCAAAGATGAGCGAACTCGGCGAATTAGTGTGTAAATTCGCGCGAAAGGCATTAGTGCCGTTTCACGAGCCGCACAAGGGGATTGATCGCTCGGACCCTCGTGCCTCTGTATTGTTTCAGCTCGAGCGTAACACCCGTCGTGGCGCTGCGGCCGATTCAATCCACAATCCCGCTCTAACGACCAACACTTTGACGGAAACGACCACCACTTGCGAAACTTGCGTCTATATTGCGCACGTGCGTTCTCCAGTCCTTATCCGACACGCGCGCCCGGTATTCACGGATTTCTCGATATCCGCGCATCCGAAAGATAAATCAATTACTAAAAAAAAAATTCTTCTCATTTTATAAGAAAATTATAAGAAAAATACTACTCTCTGCTAACATACGATAATATTCATATTCGATTTGCTTTAATTTTTATAACTCTGCGAATTATCAACCGTTCGATGATCGAGATTAAGAATGATGTTCCTTGTTTGCGATTTGTCGCGTTTGGGCCCCCGACAATTTGCTAAATACGTCACTGGCGTTTATATCGCTTGCGCATATATTTTGCGGGGTGTACGAGAACCTTTTAGGCCGCACGCGTGCATATACACCAACGGTGCACGCGCGCGCGTTGGAAGCGCCCCGTCCGTGCGTGCACGCGCGGATGCGTGGGTGCGTGCAACGCGCGAGAGATGCGCAGGACGACTATTCAGATATTGTTGTTATTGTTGAGGGAACAATCGCCCGTCAATAGGCCGCCTCGGCACAATGTATCTATTCAGGTGCGGTCAGCGGTGCTCAATCGATCAGGATCCACCCTTTGCGAGTCTCGGAAAAAGCTCCGCGTGACCGACAAAGATTGTCGTCAAATGTGCATCGCGGGAGTTTTTGTTCAAACTTTTACTGAGCCTTAAGTTTTAACTTATCTATCGACGAATGGAACACGCGCGCTTATCTCTTTTCTGCCTTTTGAGAAAGGTATGGGCCGAAAGAGATACTGCTTGACATGTGTATTTTTATTTTATAAAATATGATGTAAAATATATTTAACGTTTTGAAAAGCGAAATAAAATTGAAATAAAATTAATATACGTTGTATTGAGAGATGATTGATTCGTAGATAAAATTATTTTTACGTTTCTCGAAATGTATATATATTTTTAGTACACTGAAAAAAAAATTGTTAATTTGACTAAATCCGTTCAACTAATTACCATTTTTTTAATTGAAATATTTATATATTTAAGTCAAATAAGACATATTAAATCTAACATGACGTATATTTTAGTCAAGTTAACAATTTCTTTTTTTCAGTGTATGCATGTATATGTATATTATTGTATTATGTTTATAATAATCATCTTTAACATATTATTTTATTTTTCAATAATTTAAATTACTGTAAGAATAGTTAACAATTGATATTGTGTATATAATGTGCGATTGTGGGTATAAAGTGCAAAATCACACTGTAAGGACCAGGTCCTCCTGGTCACCTCAGATCATCAATCAAAGCGTGAAATGAATCTTGAGCCGCGATGAAACATATCGGTCTTCAAGATCAAATCGCAAACGTTTAGACATTGTACCGACCATATCCCATAACCTCTATTATCATTAATTTTGTTCAATTCAGTTTTCAGTTTCTGTATTATTATTAGAATATTTTCCATTAAAAAAAACATTTGTTTACGATAACTCTAAATTATAATTTTAATTTCTGTATTAAAAAACCGCGTTTTATAAATTTCCTAAAGCTTTCAAATATTTTAAATAAAAATAAACTTTAAACTCTCTATGCACAACCGATCGTATCTCGGCTTTTTCCGATGTGATAAATATCCGGACGCGATCCTTGCTTAATAAATATATTACAACGAATGTGTGAATTGCCTATCGCTCGCAACTATTATTCGACGAATCGGAGCTTGAGACCGGTCAAACGAACGGCCGTATATCCTAATGATACATTATCGGCTCGTTCAAAGACGCGCTCCAAAGAGGTCCAGCCGCCGGCGCTGGAGAAAGAGAGACCGCGCGAGTGAGAGCCACTGTCGCGAGCGAGGGTACCCGAGTTCCGCGGCTATAGTGATGATTACGTATGCGGGAATCATTGTCGAGTAACGCGCGATGCACATGCAAAGGCCAAAAATCGTCGAAATCAGTCGAGTTCAACATCAGCATTGTACCTGGGCTTTGTCTCTGCCTCATTGTTGTTGGTCGGTGCCCCCTCCCCCCGACCCCCTCTCACTCACTCTCTCTCTCTCTCTCTTTATCTCTCTCTCGGTGTAGAATCTACACGTATGCGCGAGCCACGGTTGCTGTCCCAGGTTGGCTTCTATGGCTGGTCCAGCCACGCATCCAGGACCATTCGTTGGTTATGCCGGTTCCGTGAATCGGTATAATCCTTTTACTTTTAAAAACGTACGTATATACGTGCCATTGAAAAAAGGACGATGATAAAAATGGATAGATAAATATAAAAATTTAATATTTTTGGCATGTACTATTGACATTTCATATTTTATCTCTTTATAAACTAATATCGATGTAGCAAAATAAATCAATTTGATACTTCTGAAAATACTTGTAAGTTTTTTAAAAGGTAGTTTTTAAATTATTAAGTTTTGCCGTACGCTAAAAACAATTCTGTTTTTGAAGATAAGAATATCTATTTCATTTGAAACACAATAGCAAGTAAACGTTAAGTTCTTCATAAATTATTTGTCGATTCTTAGCAATTTTCGTACGGTATCTCGTGTCTCTAATTCAACCGGCATCGCGAGTAAATCCGATCTTACACATCTGACGCGCGATCGAAATGAAGGAAAAGAAGTCGGCACGGCGAATCCATGTCTGCCTTTTTCCACTGTGCATAATACAGGTGCAGGACAGATAGGACAAGATCTCCGCGATGATATTGGAACGAGAATGAGCGTGCGAGAGGGGTAACATCAGCGGCAGAGCAAGGCGAATCCGGAGGAGAAGAGAAGGGAGCGAAGCACGAAGAGCGAGGGAAACGAAAGAGAGAAAGAGAGAGAGAGAGAGAGGTACGGTAAAGAGAGGGGGATAGGAGGAGAAGAGGGCATAGAGCAGCTGAATAGGAAGCGACACAATGGACCTGGGTGGCTGTGGAGGCGTGTTATCAAATGGGTTCCTCATTCACATACTGCGGCCTGAGCTACCTGTGTCTGTCTGTACCGGTGTCTGTCTGTTATACTTATTCATACCGCCCATTGTGTCCTCCACTGTTGAGTCGAGTTCAGTTCAGTTGAGAACGCGATGGAACGTGCCACAATGCACGAATATGGGCTGCGCCGCACCTCCCCTTCCCGCTCCTTCTGTACCCTTCCCCTCGTCACCGCGTACCTCTTTCTCTATCACTCTCTCTAACTCTCTCTCTTTGCCATTTGCCACCCACGGTCCGACTCGCGCGCCCGCGCGCGCGCGCTGGATTCGCCGGGGCCGACTGAAAAGAAAATTGCGTCGGGAAATTGTATCCGCGAGAAAATCCGACCGATAATGCCGAGTTCTTGAAGCGTACACGTCGTGAGATTTCTCCGCCTCGACGATGGCAACGACGGTCGTCGAATCTCGCTGCC